CCCGGATGCAATCAAGGATGAGTTTTACCACCAGTTATCTGTTCTTCTCCAGAAAGTGCATTCGACAGATATTGTAGTACTAGCCGGAAACTTGAATGCTCAGGTCGGGCGTCTAGGCACAGAAGAGAGTCGTTTAGGTGGCCGATGAGGGCTTGTTGGTCGCAGGACAAATAACGGGGACCATCTACTACAACTGTGCACAGACCACAACCTGTTTCTGGCTAGCACTAACTTTCGGCACAGTCATCGCCGATGTACCACCTGGCGTCCTCCCTCTGCATCTCAAGCTTGGATTCAGATTGATCACATCGCGATCAGCTACCGCTGGCGTGGTTGTGTACAAGACTGCCGCTCCTTTTGGAGTACCTATCTGGACTCTGATCATGCCTTGGTCTGCGCCAATCTTACCTTACTTCTCAGTGGACAACGAAGTGACCGCCACTAACGGACTGATGTTAGCAAGCTGGTTGCAACTTCTGTTGCTAGTACGTATCGAACCGAGCTAGCTTCTAGGCTAGCTACCACTCCACCGAAAAGTATAGATGAGCATTGGTTGCAATTGAATGACGCCATGAAAATGGCGAATAAAGTCAGTTGTGGGTTCGCGAAACGTCCCGCTTACAATCACTGGGTTTCTTCAGGCTCCTTAAAACTAATCGAAGCCCCTCAGTCTACTCCAGGTGACCGTGAGTTTTACCAGAAACGAAGGATGTTACGTAATGAAATCGGTAGAAGCTTGCGTAAGGACTGAGAAGCCCGGTGGTCGGAGCGTGCTAATGAGCTGGAAGCAGCAGCTGCATCTGGTAACTACCGGAAGCTCTTCCAACTCATCCGAGTCACTGGCAGCAAGAAGTCTGGTGTGAGTGAAACAATCTGCGAGGATGATGAGATGCCAATCACTAACATCCATCGACGTCTTGGACGATGGGCAGAACTCTTCGAAGGACAGTTCAACTGGTCTGCTGCTCCGGCAACATCGGTCAGACTGTCCTGCTCCCATGGCCGATGACGGCTGATCAACCGAATGAGGCGGAAGTCCGCAAGGAACTCAAACTCTTGAAGCGCTACAAATCACCAGGCCCAGATGACTTACCTCCGGCTCTTTTTAAAAATGGTGGTGACTTTCTGGTTAAGGAATTGACAGTGTTGTTTACAAAGGTCTGGGAACTAGAGAGTGTACCAACGTCATGGAATGAGTAGATAGTTGTCCCTATCTTTAAAAAGGGTTCAAGTCGTTCCTGTAACAACTATCGGGGGATAAGTCTACTTCCGATTGGGTCCAAGCTATTGGCTTCCGTCATACTTCGTAGGTTGTTCAAAACTCGAGAAAGATTGACTCGCGAGGATCAGGCTGGGTTTCGTTCTGGTCGAGGATGTATTGATCATATCTTCACCCTCCGCCAAATGTTAGAAACACCGCCATACTTATCAAAGGCCAACAATCGTAGTGTTTCTTGACATCAGGGCTGCCTTCGATTCGTTGGATAGGACTGTCTATTGAAGAAGGGTGTGACTGAGAAGTTTATCAACATATTAAAAGCCCTATATACAAACACCTCGGGTAGAGTTATGACATACAACCACCTCTCTCCATTGTTCCATTCGAGTAGTGGGGTTAGACAGGGTGCCCAATCTCACCATTCCTCTCCAACTTTGCCATCGATGACATTCTGGAAACAGCTCTGATGGATGTAGGTAATAGTGGTGTGGATATGTTGCCTGAAGAAAGACTTCTCGACTTTGAGTATGCGGATGATATTGTCTTACTGTGTGATAACACCCAAGCCATGCAATCCTCAATTAATCAGTTGGCAACCAGTGTCTGTAAGTATGGTATGTGCTTTGCACCTTCGAAGTGCAAAGTACTTCTACAAGACTGGCAGGATTCTAATCCTGTACTCACCCTGGATGGTGAGAAGATAGAAGTAGCTGAGAAGTTTGTGTATCTAAGTAGCCGCATAAGTGCTGGTGGTGGCGTGAGTGATGAGGTCAATGCACGTATAGTGAAAGCCAGAGCGGTTTATGCCAATCTGGGCCATCTTTGGCGCCTTCGTGATGTCAGTCTGGCCGTAAAAGGTCGGATCTACAACGCGTCGGTGAAAGCAGTTTTGCTCTATACTTGTGGAACCTGGCCTCTCCGAGTTGAGGATGTTAGACGACTCTCTGTGTTTGATCATCGTTGTCTCCGAAGGATTGCTGACATCCAGTGTCAACACTATGTTAGTAATGCAGAGCTTCGGCATCGTGTGTTCGGGCGCAGAGACGATAATCCAGTCGGTCTCACCATCTTGAAACATCGACTTCGGTGGTTTGGACATGTTCTACGAATGTCATCCCAGAGAATTCCACGTCGCGCATTATTTGCCGACGCTGGGACTTGTTGGAAAAAGCGGAGTGATGGTCAGTGTATGACATGGTGTCGGGGTATGAAAGAAAGCTGCACGGGACTGGCTTCCTTCACGACTCCCTGGCTGGGGTCCGAGAGATGGTGCGACACAGAGGCTAGAGCGTTATCAGATATGGCCCAGAATAGAAGCCAGTGGCGATCCTGCTGTAACCTTTTACTTTCTTCATAAAAGGTGATTGTATTTTCCTTAACTGAAAGATTTTTTCTGGTTCTACCCTTCCGTTCCCCCCATTACTATTATTATTATACTACCTTACACTAATCTGGTCGTTATTGTTCTTTTTTTCTTTTGCGCTCCTTACCTTCTTTTTTTTCTCTCCCCATTCTCATTGTTCGTGTGGCGCATATATATTTGGTGTCCTCTTGTACCAATATTTATGTGTTCAAATAAATAAATAAATAAGTGTCAGTTCAAGATGTCATACCACATTAGCTCAGAAGAATAAAATTACCAAGACAAATTCCAGAGCAGTATAAGTAGTGACAGTAAAGGTGGATTACACGTAGCACAAAAACGATGAACGATCTTAAAAAACGAATTCATAATTTATCCGACCCATTGACTTACCAATGATCACAGGAGAAAACAAAGTAACAAGTTTCAGGATACGAATAAAAAGTAGTTTCTGATAAATTACTACCGAAACGTCGCTTTAATTATTTATTGCTACGTTAAGTAAAGAGCTTTTGCTACAATACACAAATATAATTGACTTCTTCCCATCAACCTCGGATAACGTTTTTGTCTCAACATATCGTATATTTTAAAATTAACTTATTAGTCTGAAATCCAGGTTTAGAATAGCATACCTTGAATCTCTTATCCGAAAGATTAGGTAACGATAAGGCTTGATCGAAACATTATTAGCTTGAATTAAGCAAATAAGGTTTCGATTTAACTTGAAACTACAACGAACAATAATAGACGAGAGAATAAAAACAGAAACTGGTGGTTGGAAAATACGTAAACAAAAAGGAAAATAGAATGAACAACAAGCAAAAGTAAGCCCCTCACTTTTCTAGCATCTAACACAACTGAGAATCTCGAGAACATTTAAACGATTATTGTTAGTAAACCTGATTATATCTATAGTTATCTATGCTTACAACTCCCATAAGACGTTAAAAAACAGGTCGGGAATACTTTGGTTTCTGGTGTAACGTCTAGTGCAGCTAGGTAAGAAAACGATAAAACTCACAAATGACAACATAAGAGTGCTTTTAAAATCTCACAAGTTTGTTCGTTTTCCATTGCCAGACGTACCAAAAGTTGTAATTAATGAAACATTTTTGCTAAAATTTTACAGAGAAAATTATTTACTTGGTTGCTATTTTGCTGAACTTCACCGACTAACCTGTTTTAGTAACAATACTTTTCGCAGCTTGATATATAACATTGTCGTTTTCATCGATATTATTAGTGTCTTTATCTATTGCTCATATTTCATTTTTCTGAAGGAGTTCATTAGTAGTTTACTTATTTCATAAAATTTGTCAGACAGTGGTTCTACCTTTATTTTCAGTCACAAAATATCCTTAAATTCACATATTGATTGTCCTTATAACCTTGTCTCAAATATGTTAATTAACATACATGTTCTGTATTTGTTAGTTAAGCTTATTTTGAATAAGCTTGTACGAGTAGTAACAAGAAAGAAAGACAAACATTTATCGTAATTCCGGAAAAAGTTGAGTGAATTGAGAGACCCCTATCGCCAAGACTAACACAGACCACCCAGAATCATGTCCTTCCTAAACTGAAATATAAAATCCAGAAACAACATGAATCAGTTGCATTGAAACGGGAAACAAGAGGTATTACAGCAACTTTTTGAGCTGGGGACTGATATTTATGATGTCAATCATACTAAATATGAGGGCTGACAAGCTTTTATACGTTTAAAAAATACCGACGTAAATTTCCGGAAAGAAGATGTCTTATGTATTTGTATTTTATAGTAATGAACACATCTATTATCAGTAACTAATATTACATAGAGCCTAAGTTATCAATACATGTAGAAATAAACCTGTAAGGAGTATGGATCTACACTTAAATATTAGTGTTCGCTAGTAAGAAAAAGGACCTTGAAAAGTTGAGGCTTTGAAAACTGGGATAGCATCATTAAATTGGGTAATAAATCTTCCCGTAGTATCTGGTTTAAAATACACTGACTGTTAGTAGCTAGAAAAGGTACACACATGATAAAAATATCCAAAGGAAACAATGTGTCGAAAACCCCTAGAATGCTTTTAATAGTCAAGTGAATGATATCATATAAGATGTTCAACACCTGAAAGCTTGTTGAATAAATATCGTGTGCAAAGCGAACATATAAGTTAAAACGAATCAAGTGGTTTACTGACTTGAAAGACACTGTGACCACTAAACTTGACAAATGAGGATAGTGAGAACATATTTCTAAGACCATGACATATGTAAGAGTCTACACCATACATGATCACGGATGATAATATCGGCTTTAGCACTTTGAGCGAGATCATATTTGCACATCATAATGCTGAAATTATATGAATAAACAATAAATAGATAGAAAGCACTAATCCACATTGTCTCAACATGATAACTCACCACTCTTTGATCTTTTGAGAAAGCCAGTGCTATAAAGCCTGTAACTTTTTGAACATTCCCTCTAAGCTCAAATTCCACGTAATTTTCAGACTTCACGGACACCAACTTCCAGGTGACAAGAAATGCACAAGATGACTCGGTACACATAGCAGGTCTCAAGCATCCCTTTGTTAAAGCACACTCGTGTAATGTAATGTCTGGAAAAATGGCGTTGGCAAAGGTAGCTGACAGAGCCAAGTTAACAAAAACTGTAACCAGAATGAACATGACTATGTACCAAACAACATCAATTGCTGCGCTCTATCAAGGACAGAATGTTGTTAAAGTAATTGAATGGGTTTAACAAACTTCAGTAATAAATATGGGAAGCCTATCGACCTATATTAATCCTTTCAATTTGCATTACTGTGGAGGTCTAATCTCATTTTGAATATATTAACGGAAGGTACTGGTATTACGTGTTCCGGTAGAGAATTCCAGTAACTCAATACTCAACGCGAAAAACGAAAGTCTAGACGTAAAGGATTTGATCTCGTTTTTCGGACTTTCTGCGAATGTCCTCTTAAATGATCAGTCCTAGATGGAAGTAAAAGATAAGACATGTTAGTACCAATGTCATCGTTCAATATGCGATAAGCCAATATTAGATCACCCCGTATTCTACGGTAAGATAACGGAAATAAGTTAAGGTGTCGCAGCCTGTCTTCATAAGATAGGCCAGATAGACCTTTTACCATCTTAGTACCTCGTCGTTGGACTCCTTCATACTTAAAGCAAGGACTCTGCTTGAATCCCATATTCTAAATGTGGTCGCACGTAAATCGAGAATAATAATCTAAACATTTCATCGTCTAAATACTGGAAAGACCTGCGATTAGACCACAATAGCCTATAGCTTTTCTCGGCAGCGGCCTTACTGTGATTAGTGGTTTTGAGACCACTGCTTATTATGACTCCTAAATCTTTATAGTTTCTTACTTTGGGTAGCACGAATCCACATATTGTATAGTGATACGGTTCATCATAGTTATTTATTTGCATCCCTACACACTTATTAGGATTTACTTCTAGTGACCACCTGTCCAACCATGCCACCAATGAGCTAAGATCATTCTGTGATACTATCCTATCCGACATACTGTGTATTGGTCTCCAAATTTTTATGTCATCAGCGAAGAGTAAAACGAATGGTTTTGCTATAGTTAGTAATTCATTTACATAAAGTAAAAAGAGAAGAGAACCGAGTATTGTACCCTGAGGAACTCCACTTTTTACAGTTACCCACGAGGAGAGAGCCCCATTTACCCTTATCCTTTGTCTCCTGTCACGGAGAAAGTTACTTATCCAATCTACGACTGTATAATGAATTCCAAAACGTTCTTGTTTGAATTTAAGACCAGAGTGGGAGACTTTATCGAAGGCCTTACTTAGATCTATGAAGATCACATCCACAGGAATATTCCAATCGTTTGCAGCAGCACAATCTTCTCTTGCAATGAGATTTGTCAAGCATGATAGGTCTTTCCGAAAACCATGTTGTGCCCGGGAGAAAAGATTATGCTCTTCAACACAGTTTATAACAAATATCCGAATGATTTTTTCCATCAGTTTTACAACTGCACCAGTTAAGCTAACGAGCCTATAGTTAATAACTAAATCCCTACTCCCGGCCTTATGCACCGGACTTATTATAGCGTCTTTCCAGTCTCTTGGCAGTCTGGACCGCCTCAGAGACATGTCAAGCAGTATCGCTAATGGTTCAGCAATTACATCTGATATGGCTTCCATAATCCTAGGATGAACACCATCAGGACCACTGGGCTTGTCACGTTTGAGATGCTGAAGTAGCCTTAAAACAGTACCTTTCTTAATGACTAAAGGGTCCAACAGCGAGCCGCTGCGATCACAATTAATCGTTGGTCGTTCCTCATTACCGATAGAAAACACTTTAATGATAAAGCTTCAGCCTTCTGCCAAGATTAACGGATCTTCTTGTATCAAAAGTGATGGAATTCCATCGCTTCCCTGAGTTTGCCTTTTTAAATACAAGAATAACCGTTTCGGACTATATCTAGAATCCCTAACCAATTGTTTTTCATATGATCGTCTAGTCCTACTTATTAACGCTTTACAGGCATTCCTAATCTTACAGTAACTGGATCTGTATTGTTTTAAGCCAGTAGAGATGAACATATTTCAGTGCATCTTTCTTTTTATAAGAAGTTGTAGTGGCATTGGACAATAGCCACACAATCCACAAAGCTGTGAACACGAGACTACTCAGAAAATAGATATTCAATATTTAACGCGAAGAAATACCTAACAATGGAGAAGGCGCGAGGAATGAATTGAATGAATTGGAGTTGATCGGATAGCATGGCTCGACCATGCAGGCGTGGTCCATCTGAATGTTACCTTATATCTTCTATTCATATTAAATATATTGTTCTTCTCTAGCCTAACTTGTTCTACATCATGTATTGGTAATTGATACGATACAGTGAGTTGGTGTAGTCGATGGTGTGACTTCCACGTAAGATCTTATAGATTAGGCAGTTATATCATGACAAATCTAAAATTTAGGATTAGGTCTATTATAAGAGCAGTACTAATATCATAGTAGACCATAATTCTACAAGTTTCCTGACTGTCTTAGTTATTCATGATTGACTTTTATTTCTTCGCGGTACCAGGTAGGGTATGAACGAGGACGTAAATAAACTCAACTTACCTTCAAATACAGACCATGCCTTCAACGGACAAGCTAGTACCTACAAACCAATTGTTTTAGTAGCGCATTCCTGAATGACTGATATGTTAACTTTCCATACATTTGGGCGGGGTGTGACCTGATCATATAACATGTCCTAGTTCTAAACGTGAATGACAGAACAGCGTGA